GAGCTTTAGTAAAGTCATTTTCCTCACTGTTGACATTTGAGGGAACAAAGTCTCCCATGATTAAGATGTGAGCGTATCGTAGAGTAACAAAATGAGGTAACATTTCCAGTGTCCGATCATTGCACTGAATGTTGACAGTAGGCCTTCTGCAGGCAACTACAACCATACACATTTTACTGCTAGATAATCTCACTGAGAACCATAGGGATTCTTCGAGAGTAGTACACTCTCGAATATGCATTTGGTTTGCTACTAAATAAGAATGTATTTATATGTTGCTGTTTTCTTGACGTTGAGACATATAGAGGCCTGAGTTTACTAACCTTCGGTTCATAACTTGAGACACCCAAACACCTGTTTCTACTTTAGTTAGACATTTTCTGCATTATTTGATTCATGAAACCTAACCATTTCGTTAGTCAAAGATTCAGAGTTCGTATGCACTCATGTCCTTGAGCTTATTGCCTGACTAATCTAAATATGCCACAGGTATTCGGAGCTTGGCAAAGTCTTTGCACGCAACACCTTTATAATCAACGCATGCCAACCAAGTCAAATATCAAGGCAGAAATGAAGACGTTCGAGGATATATTTGAAAAGCTGTCGATATACTGAGGAGCGTTTTATATAAGCCGGCCAACGGTTATATAAGATGTGTAGCACGGCGCACCCACTCGTGTGACCGAGCCCCTTCATCTAGACGTGTTAGTTAAAACTTATAAGGTCAACGTCAAATGTCGAAGTATTGCAGAACCATTGAATTTAGTGATTTATCTCCTGCTTCAGATGTCTCCCCCCTGATGGGGTAGCGATGACCCTTAGACATGGCCAGCCAGAAATTTTAAATCAACAAGTTTGCCGCTGACGGTGTGCTATGTTTGGCAGCATCTGGTTGTCTTTCCCCGAATTAAGGGGTCATATGGCACAACATCGAGATAATATAAAATGTCATATGTTGCCTGATGTGCACTAATCGTTTAAATGTTCTGGAAATCTTACTCTTGTTCCAGAACGCGTAGTCTTAAATTTATTTTCTGATACTATTAAAGTATCATCGTGTGTGTTGCCTGTCGGTTGGGGTATTATAAGTGTAGGAGTCGTGTTGCGATTGTACCGAAGAAACGTCGACGTGAATAGGATTTCCTTCTGAATACGCTGCTTTTAAGCGATTGATGCTGATGATATCGTTTTTCCGTTCTCATCGACTATATAGTACTTAGATTCACGTTGAAGAACTTTGAAGGGTCCTTCGTATGTGATTCTAATGGTCGTCGATGCGAGTCTCGATGAACGAAAACGTGTGTACTATATTGTAAGTCAGGTTGAACGAAAACATCGGTTGATTGTGCTCGAGTGGAAGCAGGTTGAACTGAACGCATTGCGTTTTTAAGCCTGTTCGTGTAGGAGGTTAGGTCCATGTTCATTGAAGAGGACGAAGGATCCACGAATTCTCCTGGAAGTCAGAGTGTCGTTGCATAAACGAGTTGAGTCGCAGAGTATCCAATGTCAGCTTTCACTGCATTGCGGATACCTAGTAAGACGAGTGGAAGAGCGTCGGTCCACTGTGAAACGTTTGCAGCTGATAGTGAAGCTTTTAGTTGTCGGTGAAAGCGTCCTATCAACTCGTTTGCTTGTGGGTGGTAAGCGGTCGTTCGGAAGCGAGTGCTTCCTAATAGTGTGGTCAGACGACGGAAAAGTTCAGACTCAAACTGACGTCCGCGGTCTGTAGTGATGGTTGAAAGGCAGCCGAAGTTTGCTACCAATCGTTCGACGAAGGCGCGAGCCACTGTTTTAGCAGTGATGTCCTTGATAGGTACTGCTTCTGGCCATCGAGTGAAACGGTCAACGCAGGTTAAGAGATAAGATTATCCCTTTGAATCTGGTAAAGGTACTACCAAATCCAAATGAACATGGTCGAAACGAGCATCGAGAGTTTTAAATGAACCTAAGGGACATTTATAGTGTCTGATGACCTTAGACTTTTGACAGCTTACACAGGAGTGTGCCCAATCCCTCACGTCTTTATTCATGCCAGGCCAGCAAAACTATTCTGCTATAAGCTTGATGGTTGCACGACCACTTGGCTGAGAAAGTTTGTGCAACGTATTGAAGGTGTTGCGTCGGTAACGTTTCGGCACGATTGGACGATACCTACCTGTAGATGTGTCACAAAGTAAGGTTTCCTTACCTGTTCCCATCTGTTTGATGCGTAGCTTGAGGATTGTAGACGATAACTCATGCTGAAGATTATTGTCTTCTTTTTGAAGCTGGGCGAGTTTAATAAGGTCGATTCCTTGGAAACTGTTCAAGGAAGTTATGCGAGATAAGGCGTCTGCGACTACATTGTTTGCTCCAGAGATGTATTGAATATCTGAAGTAAACTGCGAAATGTAGTCCAGTTGTCGAGACTCACGGAGAGAGTACTTGTCTGAAGAGGAGCTTAACGAGAAAGTAAGAGGTTTATTGTCAGCAAAAATGCTGAATTCATGGCCTTCTATATAATTTTGAAAATGACGCACAGCACAATACATAGCTAGGAGTTCCCTACCGAATGTGCTGTACCTCGATTCGGTGCTAATGGTTGCCAGGAGTTGTTAACCCATTGTTGTAAGACTCCTCCGATTGCCGAGTCGGATGCGTCTACTGCGATACTAATGGGTGCTCGTGTGTCCTGATCTGCAAGCATTGTTGTTTTGGCGATGAGTTCCTTGATTGCGGAGAATGCTTTTCGTGCGGTGTCGCCCAAATTAATGGATTTCGCATTTCCACGAAGTTGGTCAAATAGAGGTTTCATGAGTAACGCGCATTTAGGTACGAATCGTCTATAGAAACTCACAAGGCCGTTAAACGTTCGTAGTTCCCTGATTGTGGTCGGTTCTGGGTAATCCAGAATGGCCGTCACTTTGGTCCTAAGGGGTCGAATGAATTGAGCATCTATAGTGTGTCCTAGGAAGTCTAATGAGTCGGTTCCGATTTGGCATTTCTGAACGTCTACAGTAATGCCATGTTTTTGTAGTCGATTGCAAACAAAATCTAGATGCTTGAGATGTGATTCTCTGTCCGGACTAGCGATTAGGCAGTCGTCAACATACGCATGTACGAAGTTGATACCTCGGAAAACGTTGTCTATGAATCTTTGGAATGTTTGAGCGGCGTTTCTTAGATCGAAATGCATTCGCAAAAATTCGTAGAGTCCGAAGGGTGTAATGATGGCAGTTTTCGGTATGTCGTCTGTGTCCATGGGGATTTGGTCATACGCTTTAACCAAGTCGATTTTCGTAAAAACAGTTGTACCTTTCAAGGTAGAATTCGCTGGGAGAACTCTAACTTCTGCGCCAGTGTCGACTAGGTAGAGAACTATCGTTGTCACATCTGTGACGTATAACAGACGGCTATGTTCGCTTGCTACGGTTGCCGTTAACGCGTGCCGGCTTGGAAGTTTCCCGAGTTGTTTTTCGAGTCAGTCGGTTTCGAGTTGGGAAAATTGCAGGGTTGTCTGCAATTTCTGGAAGACTTTCCATACTGGTTATGATACCAGCACCAGTCGAGGTTATCCGTCTCTCGTGGTCTAGAGACAGATCGCTTGCATGAAATGCTTCTACGTGGGCTGTGTGAGCAATTACGGTCGTTACGAAAATTAAGATACTGCGTAAGTGTATGGCATAACTCGGTTATGCCATTCTGAGTCGTTTGAGGCTTTTCTCTGACTGAAAAACCCTCGGTAGTAGATTTTGTAATTTCTAAGATACGATCAGCAGATGCAGCCAGCTCGTCTAAGGCGTTGTTCTGAAACGAGACCAGAACCGCTTTCGCCTGTTGGGGAAGTTTAGACAAGAAAAGTTGTTTGAATAGACCTTCGTCGAAAGTTCTTATGCCTATCACTTCTCTCATTCTTTGCAACATGTCCGTCGAAGAACTGTGTTCCAGGTCTATGTTATTACAGAGTTGATCTAACCTTTGTCGATCGGTTAGGTCTCCTTGTTTAAGGATTGAACGCTTAAAGGTTTCGTAAGGTTCAGAAACATCACTAGTAAACATACTAGGTGTTACGTACCTGTTGAATTCCCACAGTAATGCCTTGACTACTGTGAGGAATTGTGCACGTGTGTCTTTCACGCCGTGCTCGTGGAAGTCGGCTTCTGCGTAACAGGATCAAGCTTCGATATTGTAGGGCCAGAAGGGCATGAGTTGGAACGAGGGTGGGGATATAGTCGTAATCTTAAATACCTTGGAGGTCTGTTCAGTCATAGGGTAAAGTTAACGACGAGAATACACGAGTGAAAAGTATATAGATATCCGAAAACGCGGGAAAAAGTATCACAATGTATAAAAAGTTAAAATAAAGCAATGATATATAGAATCCCAAAATGGAACAGACTCACAGTTTACGATTTGGTGTACCAGATCACGTCGAGCTCACCAATGAAGATGGCACAGGTATTCAGTGTTTGACAACGCTTTTACCAGCAACACCTTCTAATATAAATTGTACCCACCAAGAGAAATCAAAAGACAGAATCGAGGTGATCAGAAGTTATATTTGATGATTGCCAATATATCGGAATTTTCTGATCTAGTCTGGCTAGCGATTGCAGTAGATATTGAGCACAGCGGATGCATGACCGAGCGCCTTCAGCTAGATGGGTCCACTAAAACATATGGTCAGCATCTAATATCGAAGACTTACAGAGCTATTTATTTTGGGGATTTATTTACCGCTTCAATAGCAATGAAATAAAGTGCGATGAAAGTTTCTACTCATCGTAATCTTCATTAGTTTTTAATATTTCCAGCTGTCGTGAAAAAGAAAAAAAAGAACCGTTTGTGTCGACATACACTCGTACATGCATAAGGATTTGTTTTCCACTTCCAGTGTGATTACATATAAAATATCAAACAAAGGGATGTACCACGTGGTATTGAATTGTTATAAATGGTTATTAAAGCTCCTAAATTTACATGCTTATGTGCAGATCGTATAGAATAGCCCGAGTGATATGAAGTAAGGAGTTTAACAGAAAGAATAATGATGGCCTCTGGTGTTCTGTCCTCCGAGCTTGTAATCTAAATCATTGAATATTCTCGGCCTTCCAAAACACGCGCTCTTGTCGAGTGTGCTCGACGTCCTCAGAAATTTAGGATGGCTAGCCCAAGGACACGGCGAGTGCTAATGGATGTCAAGAAAACAAATGCGAACCATGTATGTCATTGTTTGCTTTTATGTGAATGACTGACTGTCTCTCCCATCTTTTTCTTGCTGACTTAGTATCTGTGTCTCATTTTCAGTGTGGCCAAATGATCGACATTAAGTAAATGAGGTGGAGAACAATATTTTATTCTGTTTTTGAACGTTGTACTTTACACACTCATATCTGACTGGCCACAAAAAAGTGAACTAAATTTGTGAAGAAGAAGCTGGACCTTCACTGGAAAACAAACTGTAAGGATTAACACAAGTCCACCAACCTATTATCCTTATTACTGAAGACTGAAATCAGAAAACATTACTGAACTACTAGTGTAGCGGTCCACGTGTAGCCAGAGGGTACTTTATGTACTAACTCATATCTGACTGGCCACAAAAAAGTTAACTAAATTTGTGAAGAATAAGCTGGACCTTCACTGGAAAACAAACTGTAAGGATTAACGCAAGTCCACCAACCTATTATCCTTATTACTGAAGACTGAAATCAGAAAACATTACTGAACTACTAGTGTAGCGATCCGCGTGTAGCCAGAGGGTACTTTATGTACTAGAGTAGCTTAAATGAGGAGGGCTGGTAAAGAGAACAAAAAAGGTACGTTGACGACTCGGCAAGCTCACACAATTCACTTGTATTTAGTAACGAGATCAGTCGACGACAATCAGAAGTAACGCATGCCTCGAATTAAGTCAATCTTGGGATCGAAACTAGGATCATATACTTTAACCCACTATTACTATGCAGTGGTCTGAATTATATATATAAACTAGCCAAGTACACGTTTCCAACTGTCCTTTCAAGTTGATCATCCCGTCAGGAAAATAAATCACAATAAAAATATAGTGTCATGTTTGTAAACTATTTAACAGCAATATTTCTACCTTGGGATTTAGTTGATTTTTAAACCTTACTCTGGGAATGTAATAGTACTTGCTACCTACCTAATGTTCATCAAGCTATAGTCTTATGAGATATTATATTGCTGCATAAATTCTTTAAAGATGCCTAATGTCGGCTACCAGCTTTTTTTCTGAATGTAAACATTTAATTATATTCACAGTTGTATTGCTTGCATCCAGGTCTCAACAAAATGAGTACTGGACAAATTTTTACCTGGACAGTCATGATTTCATGATATACCTTACTAAATCACAAGTTTTATAATCAGTATTTATTTTCATCTGTAGTTATGTTTCGAATGTGGGTCGCCAAATCCTCAATGGGCTAGCGTTACATATGGTATTTGGATATGTTTAGAGTGTTCAGGAAAACATCGTGGATTGGGGGTTCATTTGAGGTAAGGCTTTTTATGATAAGTATTGTTCGGTTATTCTAAAACCTTTGCTTTGGTTTTCTATCATCGTCTATGCGAGAGCTAATTAATTGCCACAGTGTTAAAATAATGAGTTTTCTATACGGTATCATAGCAACCTTCGTAATTGCCAGGTCTCTTAGTCTCTGCAAGCGAATTTCTCGAGGTACATTTTTTGAAACCAGTTAGTAGTGGTTCTATGACATCCAAAATCTGATAGAAATTAGTTTGTATCGTTATTGAAGAAATATTTTTGGTCTTTCTTTAACATGTTAAGTAGTGTCTAATGTAGTTTTATTTTTGTATTATTCTCATGATCAGCTTTGTTCGCTCAATTAACATGGATAAATGGAAGGAGTTGGAATTGGAAAAAATGAAAGTTGGAGGCAACAGACATGCTAAGGAGTTTTTCGTTTCACAACCTGATTACAGACCTCAATGGAGTTTTCAAGAAAAGTATAATAGTAAAGCTGCTGCTTTGTTGAGAGATAAGGTTAGTAAAGTATAATCATTATCTTGGTTAACCAGTGACCAAGGTATTCATTACTCAGTAATTATATTATAATTAAATTCATTTAATCCACTATGGTCCTCCAGTGGGTTGTTTGTTGGACTTGTGTAGGAGTTAATATAATACCTCTTCTCTCAAACAACTGGTAGAGCAAGAATCTGTTTTGTACCTCTGGCTGTACGTTTGGTGCTTAAATCACAATAGTTTCAGATTTACGTCCTTGCCCAATAATAGCGGATTACAGCGAATTGTGTTGCGTATAACTAACCACCACCTATCTTGACGCTCGGTGATAATTAGGGTAGGAGTATATTAAAAGAAAGTTGGGAGCAGCCACATCAAGGTGTAACAGCCTATAAAGTTGAATTTTTTGTCTGAGTCATATTGGTATGTGTAGGCTACCAGGTCAAATTCTATGCGATAATCGTGGTTGGTGTTTGTAGATCCTGGATGAAATGGCTCTAAATCTGATCACAGTAGCTCAAATGCATTTATTTTTCACGTTTCTCTGATTCTTGGGACTTGATAGTGTTCTATAATTTTCAGTATTTTTCACTTTTTCTTTCTGACTCATATTCCTTATGTTAAGACCTGTATATTATCATTGATACTGCTGTTATTTTGACTCCTTTGATATTCGTTTAGTTAATCACTTGTTATTCTGATTTGATATAGTAACTTGTGCTGAGGTTCGTTCGTGACAGGTTCTACATTGACCATAACGGAATGAATGACGTACAACCCACCATATATGTACATCGTTGGCTTGTTGCTTTGTTATATATAATGAAATTTGATTAAAATAACTGTCCACTAATTTCTCAGCGTTATAGATTAATTCATTTATTTCACTGCTTACTAACATTCCAAGGTACGGAATTGTCATTGTAAGCTACTTTAAGGATATTTAGTCAGTACTTATTGATATTAGGAATGTCTTTTACACTTTATTTGTTAAGTCGGTTGTGAAGACTTCTGCACAACATGAAGTTCAAGTAAATTTAGACTTCAAGTAAAGCATCTCAATCACCACGATTGAAGGTGATAAAGTTTTGTTATTCAGTAAATGTAATCTTGGAAGTGTTTTGTATTTATAATTTAAAACGTTTTTGTCTTACAGGATAGCATTCATGCAGATATTAGGTAGAAATGTATTTTCCACGAATAATTTGTTGATATCTTAACCTTATGTGTTCCGTTGTTTTTAGTTGCTTTTCATTACTGAAAACTGAACAGCTAATAGCTCACATCTTTTTCAAGCATGTGATAATGATGTCTGGAAAGACAATAAAAACTTCACGATTAAACCATCTAGGTCAGATGATATATAACTCCCAAAATCCTCCTTCAGGGCTACAAATTTTGTCAATTATTGTTGAGTGGTAGATTTAGCTGAAATTTTAACAGTACACTTGTCAACTGTGGGCTAATTTTGAAAGTTAAGCTTGAAAAGTTTGGAAATGTTCTTGTACCGATATTTCCTCATAAAATTTCTGTGTAGTGTAGACTGCCAAGAAATTTAAGTTCAATTAATGCGGGGTTGAAAATGTTAGTATCTTTCGTCCAACTATTTAAGAATAATTTTACGGGTTTAAATATTACAATTTAACTTACCCTTTTGTGATTTATAATTAATAGACCCTTAGTAATAGTCTAATTAATGGATAAAATATACCAATCTCCTGATAGTATGCAATAATACAATATATCCAAGTGATAACTGCTCACATGACAGGATTGTTTAAGCAAGCCTTTAAATGGACTCATATTCGATTATAAGACAGCTGACTGGTAGAAAAGGTCTTTTACTAAAAAATAACACGCTCATTCCGTACCTATTTATGTTTGTTTCTTGGATATGTAACTCAGGGATCCAGAAACGATTTTAATCCATTGGGTTACGAATCTCAGTTATGTCCCACCTACTTTTAGTTTGTGCAGCATAGTGTGATCTCTTACCCTTATCTGTTAAGTGTGACTCAGCATAGAGCGCACGTGAGCACACTTATCTGCTTTGGTCATTCTTTTATTGTTACAGATTGCAACTGAAGCGTCTGGTGAGGATTGGGATGAAGAAGCCGCTAATGTACGTAATAATAAATCTACTAGTATAAGTCATGTAAAAACAACCGGTGATCTGCCATCTTTATCCTCAGATAAACGAAACTTTCATAATCATAATGATTACCAAACCCCTGACTATTATCCTGGATCAAAAAACATGACCAGTTGCCATTCAGATTTGGAATCCTGGTTAAGGGATGCAAATTTATCCGAGGAGCATGATTCATCTACAACACCAGCAACGAAGACAACAACTACTTCTGCCAATGCACGTTATGATAAAGTTCCAGATTGGGCTGAGTATGTCAATTTTCAATCCCTGTAATTGAGATGTTTACACTTTGTTTAAGCACACGATAGTTGCTCACTTTGTATTACAATATGCTCCAGTTGTGAATCGAATAATGCTTATTAGTTGAAGTGTTTAGGTTTGTTAGTCAACTTAGAGACTGGATAGTTCTAGATATCTTGTTGCATAAATGTTCATAATTCTGTAATAATACATGTTTTGCAGTCTTTCCAATTGTCAGCGTAACATTTATCGTGGTGTTTCGTGCTTAGTTGAGAAATCCGTCTTTGATTTTTGTATCGAAGAAATTTTTTGAATGAAGTTTGGAGGTGTTTTTTTCTCTATCAGGTCTATAATAGGTTTCAATCCTACGTATTTCACGTGTCTTTTAAGGATTCACTCGTAACCTACCTTTTTCTCATTTTATTGTACTTTACAATTAAATTTGATGTCGATTGTTGACAGTAGCATAGATACAGTCGACTTATCTATAGTGAAAATCGACGTCTTATAATAGTCTGTGTCCTCTTTAGCATTGTAACGTCAAATCCAGCTGCAAAAGGTCAGATACATACAATGTGTTGGTGAGACTAGTTTTACTGTTTACTTGTGAGACCTAAGAACAATTTTATTACCACACTAGCTTCAATTTAATATTGAAACTCAACTCACTATTAATCAAAACTTTCATAACTTCCTCCTATGCAACACTAACATTTATCGTTTAATAATACTAAGTTTTAAAAATGATATCATTAGTTATTTGTCTTGACACGGATAATAAAATACCACCTCGTTGTGGGATAATTACCTTTTTTCCTAATAATGATCTATAATAATCGAGCTAGTGTTAGTGTAGATCTAATTTTTAACATAGTCACATTCACAAAAATGTTGTTCCTGATTATGCCGTTTCTTGTGGCATTTCCGTCACTGGAAGGACCAAAGGACAATTTCATAGAATATGATTGAGCAACTTTTTGCCATTATGGGATTCATGATTCTCATTTTTGTAAGAATCAGGAACTTTATGCAAAGTTCATCTGCCTCATAAGTAGTCACAACAGTAACTTACTTACGCCTGTTACCCCTAGTGGAGGAGCTTAGGTCGCCCATCCAACCCTGTCCTGAGCAATCCTTTCCAGTTGCTGTTCATCCTTTTCATGTCTGCTTCCGATTCTCGACACAATGTATTCTTCGGCCTTCCTCTTTTCTGTTTTTCTTCAGGATTCCAAGTTGGCGCTTGCTTCGTGATGCAGTTTGCTGATTTCCGTAATGTAAATCCTATCCCTTTTCTAATTTTCTCTTCATCTGGAAGCTGGCTTGTTCTCTCCCACAGTAGGCTGTTACTGAGGAGGACATTGAGTATCATGGGTAGACAATTGTTTATAAATACTTGTGCTTCTTTGATGATGGTTTTAGTAGTTCTTCACGTTTCAGCTCCGTACAGTAGGACTGTCTTGACTTTCGTATTGAAGATTCTGACCTTGATATTGAGTTCCATATGTTCTTCAATTGTAGGAATGCAGCCCTTGCTTTACCAATCCTCACCTTTACGTCTGTATCGGATCCTCCTTGTTCATCAATTATGCTTCCCAGGTACGTGAGAGATTCCACATCTTCCAGAGCTTCCCCACCAAATGTGATTGGGCTGGTGCTCGCTGTGCTGTATTTGAGGATCTTGCTTTTTCCTTTGTGTATGGTGAGGCCTACTGATGCAGATGCTGCTGCTACATTAGTTGTCTACATTTGCATTTGTTTGTGTATATGAGATAGAGAGGGACCAGGTCATCTGCGAAGTCCAAATCTTCTGATTGATTGTGAGCTGTCCATTGTATTCCATGCTTTCCCTCATATGTGGCGGTCTTCATAATGCACTCAACCACCAGAAGGAAGAGGAAGGAGAGTCGGTAGACTTGTCTGACTCCGGTCTTTATTTGGAATGCATCTATCAACTGTCCTTCATGCACGACTTTGCAATGGAATCCATGGTATGAATTCTGTATGTCGACGATTTCCTCAGGCACTGCATAGCACCGAAGACGTTTCCATAATATTCCCCTATCCATACTGTCAAACGCCTCATAGTCAATGAAGTTGATGTATTGTGACGAGTCCCACTCAACTGATTGTTCGACGATGACCCATAGTGTCGCGATTTGGTTTACACGACGAACCCTTACGTAATCTAGCTTGTTGATCTTGAAAATGGGCGTCTTTCATCCGGTTCAGCAGCACTAACTTTTCTTGGTTTTGACACACAACAGTAAGAATAAGCAGAAATCAGCCTCAGCGAAGGAAATTGAGCAATTTTATGAGGTTGCTTTTTACAGGGCTTCATGGGATTGTGAACGCCAAAGTGGCTGATTGATATTGAACTGTTGTTCGAGAGTATATCCATCCCAATCATGAATGTTATTCCTCAGCCTACGAAAACAGTTCATGGATTTTTTGTGCAGTTCCTTTTTATGCGATGTGTATGTCACATCCATTTATAATTTTCAGTAGAGGTAAATATAGGAAAACCTGAGCATCTGTCTTCTGATTATTGCTGAAATATCTTTACTATGCTTCCCGATGACAATTGAATTGAGTTTCCATCTTGTTTCTTCTTCCGATGTTTGACTATTTTGTTTTTGCGGTGTCCAGAGCTAAAACAGAAGCGGAAAAAGTGTTTATTAATTGTGTTAAATCAGAGTTACTAGATGTGGAGATATCATCGAAACACAGTGCATCAGCATTACTAGGCTTGAAATTTTCATAAAAATATAGTGTTATGGAAGAGGCTTTTAACAATTAATGAGGCAGAATTTTAATTGTTAAAATCACTGCGTAGAGTAGTTATTTATAGATGAACATGATGATATGATATGTGATCGAGTGATGAATGGAATGGAGATGGGCTGGTGGATGGTAGTGTTGGTGTTTTCTGAAATAATTCATCTGTAATTTATTTAAAGCGTTGTTGGTACCGATTAGAAATCAATGCCAAAAACATTCTTGCCATATGATCATTCTATTTTATCCTTCTAAACCGTTGAAAAATGCAATGGAACCTTCCATCAAATGTCTGATATTGGATAAATACTTCTCAGTTATTTGATTTATTAGTCAGAATAGGTTGAGATCTTTGATACAAGTGCTCAAATCAATCTAGATTGTTGCAATTCACACCATCATACGAAAAGGAGGAATCAATAAGTTACATAGTGGTTAAACAATCTTTATAAGAATCAGTGTAAATGTCGAAGTTTTGGTATATTTCTTTAGTTTTTCATCCATATATATTTTTTACTTTTGAACTGTACAACTTTTGATATGAATATTGTGCTAAATTTGTGTTACTAAAATTAAAATAAAGTGCTATGGTGAAAAAGTGCTTAAAACGAAGTATTTCTCTTTATTTGTCTTATGTCAATTCCATTTCCTAAATATCTTATTGATTTTATTGTATTTTAGCTCTAAATTTATGGATGACAATGGTAAATATACGAATTCTTCGTCTAGGCATTATTCATTAGTACCTGAAAGAAATGATAAATACTCGTGGCAGTCAGTAAGTTGTTTGTGCATTTCATCATTAATCTTGTATTAACTCATTTATGAAGCCCAAGTTTCTGATACTAAGCTATGATCATCACTTCGGATGTGACCTAGGATGCATGAATGACAGTTCTGCTTGGTATTGATGATGACAAAATGCAAAGTCTTCTAATCGCAGTGAACAACAATGCCAGTGCGTTTGTCTTAAAATGCAAAATTTCCTCTCTAGGACCGATCTGTATCAACGCCTTAACTACTAGGGTTCGGGTGTAAAATAGTTAGGCTCATCGACTACGTCACTTATCTTGAAAGTTTTATCAGCCCTGGTGGATTGATGTCACGGGAATTCAGGACACGAGATATGGGCATCCACGACCTCACTAGGTGTCGAACCCGAGACCCTTATTATGAGCAGTTCATCGTGGAACCATTCAGTTGGGATCCAGTTCTTTACATGTCTAATTTTCCAGTGCGATTAGTGGGTAACTGTCTCCAACCCGTACCACTCCATTGTTCAAAGCATCTCGCTAGAAATCTAGGGATTACTTTAGTGAACATATAATTATTATCATCCTAGACAACCATTGAAAATCAAGAAACAGTGGATAGCTGTTTCATCCTGATATTATGACACCTTAGTTAACATCAGTCTGTAATATAAACTATGAAGTTCAACTATCTTCACAAACCCCTTATAGTGTTATCGTTAAAAGCAGTATATTGTAACTAAAGGATAAATCAAACAATAAGCAACAAACAAACGAAAGGCATGACAACACTGAATTCTAATGTTTAAAATAAAAATAATTATATATTTTATTGATAATTTATTTGTTAATTTTTGAATTTGTAATTTTAGGGTTGGGCAATGGTTAGTCAAGTGGCTTCAGTAGCTGCTAAATGTACCAGTCAATTAGCATCTCAAGCAACACAAAAAACCAAAGAATTAACTCAATCCGTTCAGGAAAAAGTGAGTTATATATTAAAGTCACAAAAAAACTATGCTGAAAAAGTCTCATAAAATTATATTGTTTTATACATAATAATAATAGGATTTTATAGTTTACAGTACACAGTACACATACACACACATCCGTACACAAGTAACGCATTAAAGTGAATTTGATCGACATTGTACGTAAATATTTTTGTTTTTTGGTACTTTTTAATTTCTCAGTTATAACCTGTAGTCTGGTTTGTTTATTGTACATTTCATATTCTGTATTGTCGTTGTTATTGTTTAAAAGTTTTTTATTATTTTTGTTATCGTCGTCGTTGTTGTCATATTTCCATGTATCATTCATTTAATACTTGAATAAAAAATAATCTCGCAGATTGAAATCATGAGTCAATTGAAGCTAGACCACCATGGAAAATCTGGAAGCACTGGACGACCGTTTCGCACCTGGCGCGATACTGATAGGTCCTGGGTTCGAATCCCGCGGGGTGCAGGATCGTGGATGTGCACTGCTGAGGAGTCCTATATCGGGACAAAACGGCCGTCCAGTGCTTCCAGGTTTTCCATGGTGATCTGGCTTCAATTGACTCATGATTTCAATCTGTGACATTTCTAAAATCTCCACAAACCTCTTCTCATAAAAAATTACTCAGTAAAATACCTACAAATAATGTATATTATGTAATAAATCTATCTTATCACTTCTTAATTAAATTATTAGATATAGATTTATATAATTAACATTGAACAATAGACATTTCAATATTTGTCCAGAGAGAAATAAATAAAGCAAAGAAATACTAATAATAGCTTAGTTAAGTTGTCCTTTTCTGGTGTAAGGCATCAAGTTGTGGATCTATAGTCATTGAATGTAAATTTACCATACTAACTGACTGTTTAAACTTTAGTTATAAAATTAAAATCTGTATTACAACGATTAAATTTTAAGTGTATAAATGATTGAGCTACAAATGATACGTACTAGTTTGTACATTGTGGATTATCTTTTATAAAAAAACAAATGTTTGTTTGTCAATTTGTGTATAACAGTTTTATGTAATAATATTTTATGAGAGAGTAAATAACTTGTTCTAAGGTTCAAATGTTTTTCTTTTTCATTTATTAAATTAACTATTTGAGGTGTACTATTGTTAACACTGCCTTCCTATGGTGGGGGTGTTGTTTATAAACTGGAGGGGACGAAAATCAAATGTCCGGAGCTTTAACCGGGTTGGTGGATATGGAGGATCCACCTGACCGTTCCAAACCAATGATGAACATGGGCTCCAGGATCCTAAGAAAACAAACGGCGTATTAACCTACTGTTCGTCACCGGCTACCATGGGACTGCATCCTCTAACGCTGCTCGACTGCCTTGTGGATTAGACCTTCAGGTCAAAGGTTTGGTGAGTGGCCCCCTAAGGAAAACCACCTGCTTCGGTTTGAACACCTCGGCAATATCACAGCCTTCAAATAAATCAGTGATAACTACTACCGGCCTTATTGTTGCTGTATGGTGCATATGTATTTGGTGTCTCCTTGTCCCAATGTTTATGTGTTCAAATAAATAAAATAACTCTTGTTCAATTACCTTGATACAAAAGTGTACATTTCCAAGTGCCTTTATGTACTCAAATGTTTTTATTTGGTTGCTTGCTAAATCTTACTTTCAAAACTAATTTGAAATAATAACCACAGGGAAATAATGCAAACTGAATGAGTTGACTATCACAACTACTGGTGTTTTTGAATGTTTAAATAACACTTGCTGTTGTTGTAATTGTAGTCGTCGTCACCGTCTTTGTCAAATAATCAATGTTGTCCACTTCTTGTTGAATTTTTTGTATTTGAAAAAAAGGTTAAAGATAGCAATATTTTGGATTCATTATCAAAAGGTGTTGATACTGTCACCTCAAAGGTTAGTAAGTAGTCTGTTTTATTAATATGCATGTGTTCTAAGGTCAGGATATATGTGTATATGATTTTATTATTGTAATCACTTTTAGGCCATAAAGTTGTATGCTTCATGATAACTTGGAAATTGCACTTACAATTGAGCTAAAAACTTGATTGTATGCCTCTGCGTTAATCATAGGTCAATAATTTTAACTACTCATTGTAAAAAAATAGAGTAAATTTGTGCCCCCTTTTTCACAGTTGAAATCACGAACTTTTCTTAGCTAAACCACCACTTAAATCCTAGATAGCCATTTTATCCTAGTGTGGGGCTTCTCAGCAATAGACGTCCACGACTCTGCGACCGTTAATTGAAGCTAAGACCTTCAGTCTTGTGCGCAAGTGCTTAATCTCTATACTTTTTTGTTGTTTAAAATTACTTGATCTGTCAAACGATTAAAAGTGAACAGACTAAATAGAATGAAGTTATTATTCAGTATTTTTTGTATTTCATGCTATTAAGTGTTACTCAATCATACCTAAATGCTGATATATATATAAAACTGTAAGTTTTACCTGTTATAAAAAGACTAATTTAAGTGGTAAAACACTTAAAATGTACTAAAAAACCAATCAGTTTCAAGATAGCAACTTTTAATTGTTCGCACGAAATTAAAATGAAAGAAACGCGATGACAGCTAGTTTGTAGCCTATTAAGGTTAAGTGAAATTACTTCTATTTAGTTCTTAAGACTTCTAAAGTATCTGATGTACAACCATTTAGTAAATATGACGTCGATTGAAAGCAAAATCAAGGGAAACATTTACTCCGGTTGTCGATATTATCCAAAATGATCATTACTAGGACGTAATTAATTTGTTTCAGTGAATGGTCAAGTGCTTATAGAATTATCTTATGTCCCCTGTTCATTGTGACCTAACCGACAGAGAAAATTTATTGATGTGTAGTATAGGTAATCAATGGTGTTGTAGTTAGGGACATTACCATTGAACTATTAGGGCCATTAACCATATTGTTGGTGGAGGGAGGGATTGATCAAAGCATTTTAATTTTGAAAATTCTAGTCCGTTCGACCGAGTGGAAATTTCGTAAGCAGGAACTAGCTCAAGGATCTTTCTGTAATAACAAAGGTGATTGACGGCAATGCGCGTTATAAAAAGTTTAATGCGACCTCATCTTACGGTCAATCATTTTTTTTAATAAAAAGTTTTATTGATTTGTCTATCGTCAATGCGTTTCTTTTCTTCAAATATTTCATTAGATCCAGGTTAATTATGTTATAATTTTCTAGTTGCAAACAGTGAAAGCGCAAGGAATTCGAAGTTTTGAATCATATTGGACCAGCAGTCCTGAATCAGATCTATCTACCGGAAATTCTGACAAATCATATGGGTCTACTCTCTTTAAGTAGGTTTTAACAATCTAATTCATGTATGTACAGTCGAATGTGAATTTCATCACTTAAAAGCATAGGTTAGTGTGGATACCATCAATCTATTCTGAGTAAAATTAAGAGTGTATCACATTGACATGTAATTTACTATTTGAAAGTAGTTGCTCAATTGCTTATGAAAATCAGTCATGCAATCACAATCAATATAGAATCTGACACATGTACCTCGGTTCAAGTTGCCATACCAATATTCTAAAGCAAAATTATGAAAACAAATACCAGATTAGTAACAATAACAGTACCAGTGGCGGTAGAAAAAATTATTCGGACTGAAAGAATAAATTTGCAATATAAAAAGTTTAAGTATTTTAAGGCATAGTGAATGCATCTGTGACATTGTGATTGGTTTCGAGTTATACCATCCAGTTTTTCCAACGATTGGTCGCGATAATGTGAACCTCAATCAGGCAGTCTATATGTATTAACACGGCTCAATCTAACAGTCAATATCTTTGTGGAGTAGTGGTGTCACGTTCTGACCATCTTTTACTCTTTCAACCCCACTGATTATCTATTAAAAACATCCAGTGAACAACTACTTAGTTATAATTTTTATTGATTTCACGAATCGATTTAATTTAGACAACCGTTAGAAACTTGGAAGCACTAGACTACAGTTTCGTTTTAGTATGAAACTTCGCAGTGAACCTTTACTACCCTACAACAATAAATCGAACTCAGAACCGTCGATCTCACGTGCAAACGCTTAACCTCAAGATCACTGAGCCGACGGCCAATGATGTACAAGTCTAATTTTTATCGGTTACTGACTTCACTGAAATTCAACAATCTCCACTATTTAGTTCTAAGTTGAATTTTACATTATATCTACTCCATTATAGTTTACTGTTATCATAAATATGATAGAAGTATATAACTCTCAGTCTAACACATCCATATCTACCTGTTTAATGCATTATAGTGAGTAAAGTAATAGATTATCGATTCCGGCGTTTAAATTTCTATTATTTTATAGTTAGGTCGTTTTTAATTCCCTAGAACATTATGTAATTATAGGAGACTGTTTGACTGTATTATTTAATACTGGGTATTATTATTGTCTTCAAGATTTAGGGTATGTATAGGTTTCGCAGTGTTTCTACCAATATCGATTTGGTATGAATCTATGTGTAGGATCATCTTCATTTTATAACTAATAACTAATTTGTTGATAGCGATAGACGGTGGAAATCAGATAATATTACTTTTTAATGTTAAGAAGATATTTCTCACTATGTACTAAGATCAGTTGAACGCATACATTTCAGGATTCCCCAATAAATGAAGCATCTGTATAAACCACTGCTGAACTATTTACCGTTGTTAATCTTTAATAATAAGAATTATTTTCAAAATAACCTTCAATCCTCTGATAAAATCAAATATCCTAATAATCGTCTTATAATATAATTCATAGATATTGACAATAGAAATTGGTTAAATCATTTTGATTTCAATAGTTGAGATCATGAGTCAATTGAATCTAGACCATCATGGAAAACCTGGAAGTACTGGACGGCCGCTTTGTCCTATTGTGGGGCTCCTCAGCAGTACACATCCACGACTCCGCCTCGCGAGATCCGAACCCAGGACTCATCAGTCTCGCGCGCGAGCACTTAACCACTAGACCACTGAGCCGGCATCCAACGACGTTAATATCTAACTTCAACCAATCCACGAAATTGAGTGACACATCTATCATTGCCTTCAGTGAGTTACTATCTCACAATTGACCCGGTTGAACTCCATTGGTTCAGTCAGTCAGTAACAACGTAGAACTTCGTACGTACGTACATCAGTTCGAGTTGCCACACCACATTAGCACAGAGATGCAGTGGTCGATTCAAATCCCGTAGTGGTAGAGGTAATAAGAGTATAAGCAGAAATTGAGAAGATTAGTGTTTGATGTAACTTAAAGAGTATAATACAGTGAAATAAACTTGGGAAGAGAAAAAAGAGACAAGGTGGAATCAGGAAGTCAAAATTTGGGAGAACACAAAGAGTGGATGCACCTGCGCCATTGCAAACGATTTTGAGCCATGCCATTCAAGGTCTCTAACCATCGGTTGCTATCATCTCGCGGTCCCCAACCAGGTAGTCTACACCTACCGACATGACTCAGTCCACTTGTCAGTGACTTCATGGACTTGTGCCATGTTTTGGTCTGGCAGCCCCTAGCTTTCTTCCAACCTACTCCTATACCACTGAACATCTCACGTCGAGGCAGTCAGTCGTTGGGTATACGTAACACGTGTCCCAGCCATGTCAACTGATGAAGTTTCACCACTTCATCAATTGATCTGCCATCCTTACCTGGTACCCGTTTCCTAACAACTGCATTACTTACTCGATGGTCCTAGGATATACGAGTAATGTTTCGAAGACACCTATGATCAAATACTAGTAGTCTACGAATATCGTCTACTCTTACCGGCCATGTTTCACTGCCATAAAGTAGGACGGGATGAACTGCTGCGCAGTAAACACGTCCTTTGGTTGATAGACGGATATCTCGCCTACGCCATAAATGACGCAAGTTGGCAAAAGCTAGTCGAGCCTTCTGTATTCGTGCTGAGATTTCGTCACACACCAGACCACAAGGGCTGATGAGACTTCCAAGATAAGTGAAGCGGTCGACACGCTCAACCACTTCACTCCCTATTATTAGATCGGGTGTCGATGGAACCCGATCCTGAAGCAACATTTTTCATTTCGAGGGAGAGAATCACATCCCGAACATGCCTGCATTGTTGCTTAGAGTGGTCAGAAGACTCTGCATTTTGTCAGCGTCTTCGCCAAATAAAACTAAGTCATCAGCATATTCTAAGTTAACAAGTGAACCTCCTGGTAGAAGTTCAACCCCTGGGAATTTAGATAAGGAAAGTTTCATCTCTAAAAGCACGTCAACGACAAAGTTAAACAAGAATGGAGAGAGTGGACAGCCCTGACGAACACCACTTGAAGTAATCAATTCTGATGACAGTTCGCCATAAGCTCTCACTCTACCAGTTGTGTTCGAGTAGAGAGCCTGTATAAGGTTAATGTACTTCTTTGGTACTCCTTTCAGTGACAAACACTGCCATAGAACCTTACGATCAATAGAGTCGAATGCTGCTTTAAGGTCGAGAAATACTACCATTGTGGGGCATCTAAACGTGTGTCTGTGTTCTAGAACCTGACGTAGTGTGAATACCTGATCTATACAACCACGTCCAGGTCGAAAACCAGCCTGATTTTCTCTAGTCTGCTCTTCACAAGCTTTGGTTAGGCGTCGAAGTATTATTGAAGTTAATATTTTAGACACTATATTAGTCAAACTGATTCCTCTGTGATTGTCACAAGAGGACTTTTGTCCTTTCTTATAGACTGGCACTATCAGTGATTGAGACCAGTCTGATGGGATTACGTCCAGTTCCCAAATTCTACCTAAGACCTCAGTTAATCTCATTACTAATACTGGACCACCATCCTTAAAAATCTCAGGAGTAAACCTGTCAGGGCCTGCTGCTCTCCCTCGTTTCAGATTTCATATGGCTTTTTCAACTTCGTAAAGAGACGGAGGACCTACATTAACTTGCCACTCAGGTTGACTAGAGATCGTGGGAAACCGAAGTGTGGCTGAAGGCCAGTTTAACTGATCCCTGAAGTGTTCTGCCCATCGATCCAATATCCTGGATTGAGAGTGTATAATATGTCCATCTTTCTCTGAGAGTGTTTCGCTATAAGATCCACCCAGGTGTTTTTCCCTATCGCTTAGTTTACGTACTTGAGCATTAAAGTCACCGGCCATTATTACTACATCTGAGCGCCTAGCTTTTCGGAGAAGGCCGGAGAGCTTTCTGTAAAACTCATCTTTTACATCATCTGCGCTGCAGTCAGTGGGGGAATAGGCAGAGACGGCGAAGAGGCAACGACGAGTGTCCCTATCTTTTCGGATCCTTACTGTTCCGTTTAGTTGGACAGCACATAAACGACTGTCTACTGGGATCCACTCTAAGAGAGCTAGTTCTGCCCTAGGACTCAATGCTATGCCTACGCCGACGAGGCCACGGGAAGCAGAATCAGGGCTTCCAGATACATGAAGTGTGAATCGAGTCGGTTCTTTGGTTACTACTTCTTACTAGAACTCCAGGAAATACCTCTTCAAGCCAGTCATTAGTGAGCATATGTTGATTGATATCGCGGATCTCAACTATTGAAATTACTATCATATCCACGAAAACCCCTTCTGATATGAATCATCTTAACTTCAGGAAAACTTATTTAACAAGAATCAAGACATTTTCAGCGAAGTGGATTTTCTTCTTGATGATATTGTTTTCTGAAGATGTACAGTAGTATTTATAAGTAGTTTTTTCAACTTGTACTAGTCTGTAGTAAAACAGTGGTTTTTTTAGGGAAACCCAGTAAATTCCTCGAAAAAAGCTCAAAGGGGCCCTGAAAACTCTGGTAAACATTTTATCCAATCCACATTCAATAGCAGTTTCTCAGAAAGATATAGAAAGTGAAAAGCCACGTGTCACGTTTCTGATTGGACGATTACTTATCCTGCTACTATGTATAGAAGGGGTTCCAGAAGCCTAAGGCCATCTGAAATGCTATAAATACCCTAGATTTTCTGTATATAAATTAATCTTGAAGTAAAGCGTTCTTCCCATATTTCACACTTTTTCTCTCGTGTCCAAGTTGCCTTGTAGATTCAGCCTGGTGGTCATTAGAAGAGCTTAGGGAACCGAATCAAGCGTTCGATTAAAAGATTTATCAGGTTTTACAAAATTAATTAATTAATTAATTATATAATAGTTTTTATAAGTAGTAAAAAGTAATAATCTATGAGATATAAGGGAAACGAAGGGAAGGTATTACTTAACATTTATAATTTGTGAAATTTCCGGGAGCGACTAAAACCATTTTAGTAGAATTGATTGAATTCGAACAGTTTATCTGCTTTAACTGAATAACCACACTAATCAAGTTAAATCGATTGCGCATAATACTACTACTGGTTGTATTACGTAGGTGACTAATGTAACTTATTACTATTGATGATGTATGATTGTTGGTGAATTCCAGTGGTTTACTTTCGAATTAGCTTGTGTACATAGTTATTTATCTTATTTTGTTTCATATATTCAATTTTCCTTGGTTTGTATCCTGGTGTGGATTATAAGCTTGTACTGTTGTAAAGAGTCCAAAGTTTAAGACATGTCATCTTTCTTCAATGTTATTTAGTCTTTGATAGTTCAATTTTTTTATATCCATTGAATATGATCTTTATATTATCGAATCCATTAATAATATGTTCTCTTTTGAACTAATAACACATGTCTATGAACAATAACTGAAAATCCTTACTATTTACTGATCTAAACAACTTTTTTTTTAAATCCCCAGTAAGCAATCAGGATATGAAGATGTTAATTACACTTACCCTATATTGTTGTGTAGTTGTCATGAAATCAAAGCTCAAAGAATTACATAGATCAATTACTTGTTCACAATATGTCACAAATAAGGCATCATAATTTGTGCACAACTAAATCACATATACCATAAAACTAAGAAATAAGTGTACAATTAATTAATAATTTTGAACATTAAAGCGTATTACAATAGTTCATGAATGAAATGAAACCTTATAATAAAAGTAATATAAAAATACCAGGATTCAAGTATTTAATAAATAGACGCATATATATATCTTTATGAACGATTTCTGTAAGTTCCATCTTACCCAATTATTCTCCCTCCTCACTGCCTTCAGATGTAATAAGTCCTCCAGTAGATATCGATCAGTGAATTAGATTGACGCCAATTGATCGGCATAAATATCTTGATCAAGAATCATTGATTTATTTGAATTCTTATATTTCTTTTAATCATTCTCTGCTAGTAATCGTGAACAAGATCGTTCCAGTTCAATGTTTCTTGATCGACACCTACAACATGGAACCGATTCGTTTAATAGAAGTGAAGGAAAAGGTAATGGTTTTTCGTTTACATTCAAAATGAAGAATGTTTCGTGTGCAACTGTGTGTTATGGACGACGTTTTTGACGATTAATGAAACGGGGTTTCAGTTGATAAATTCACTGTGTAGAGTGGTTATTTATAGATGAACACAATGATATGATGTGTGGCCAAGTGATGGTTAGTTACGAGACTGTATTATTAACAGAAGTCGCCGAATAATTAGGGATGACTGACAAGACTACTAGTTGTATGAATATATTTTCTATGTGATATATTAATATAGTTGTATTTGGAATGTGAACAGAAAATAAAAATGATAGAATGTGATGGGGAATCGGAGTAAAGTAGCCTGTAGTTCACTGGCCCGGGGACGTGATTGTAGATTTCAAGGGTCAACTTCTCATGGCCGATAACACGACCTTTTTATGACAAGTTTGTAATGTATGTTAGTTACGTACTTCAAACTGTCTTATTATCAGAGAAGAATCTGTATGGTAAGGTGAAGTTCAACATTTCTGCCTCCTTCCTATTGTGAGAAAGCTCCATCGTCGCAGGTTCCTGTTGTCTATCGAAAGCACCTTGGTTCTGTCACACCCCTGTACAGTCAGCAGTATGACCTCACTCTCGAACCTTAAGTTTGTCTTACCGATCTCCAACCGACCTCCCTGGGATGGTAGGATCCTAAAAGAACAAGTGTTCCAGTTAGTCTATCTCGATTGGTTGATTACAATAGGCACACTCGACTATCACTTCAAGGTAGCAGCTACTGTCGGCTACAACCATAGTGTTTTATCCGTATTCCTCCCAACACACGCAATTAAAGAAAAAGAGGAAATGGGTGTTTTCACACAAAAGCTTTTGGTATCTCCTAACGAGGCGAAAACACGATTCGACTATTTCATACCCGACTATTTCTGTCTGTCATCGCACAACTATAACCGCATAATTCCAACTTCTTGCTATTGCCAAGCTCATATATATATATTTTACAGAGACTTCATCATTACATACACTTAGGGACCTAGTCTGCATGGAGTTGCCTTAGCAGCTTTTATCAACTTATGTCATACTTGCAAGAGATTGGATTACTTGAATTTCCAGTGTTAGTTATTGATAATATTAATACTTGATAATTATTTCAAATATTGATAATGGTAGTTTATTGTTTGATGTAAAAGATAATTGTATAGGATCAACTGGAAGATATTGTACTGTGTACTTCGATTATTACTTAACATTTCTATCAATATATGGGTTGTGTTAATTTATAAATAAATGAAGTAATATGTTCATTGGTTTTGACTAATAATAATTAAAGTATCATTCGTAAACATATCTGTAATAATTGTAATGAAACCGAAAACATATTAATTGATGAATTTATAATCTCAATAATTGAAATGATGAGTCAATTGAAGTTAGACCACCATAGAAAACCTGGAAACACTGGACGGCCGTTTCGTCCTATTATGGGACTCCTCAGCAGTGCGCATTCACGATCCCGCACTCCGCGAGATTCGAACCCAAGACCTATATTCATAATCGACAAAATTTCATGAAAAAAAATGCAAAAGGGTTTATTTGATTTCCAATAGCTCACTCCATCTATGATCCAAGCAAGATATTAGACTATATGTTAAAGGGTATGCACTGCCCACTAGTGCATTATATTACTTAGCGAGTGGAAAAAATCCGTATGTCTTTTATTATTATTTCTTTAAAGATCATCTTGTAATGTACGCATGGATGTGCGTGATTGATTAATCAGCATTCTAATGAGTACTTTTTGCCTTATATGTAGTTTCTTAAGAAATGCAGCGTAAGATTATAACTACTGTATTTAATGATTTTCGGACTAGGTTGACGTTATCTCATACAAAATACACCTTATTTGTGAGAAACACACTTGAACCATCTTCGTTTCCATTGTTTTAAACATCTCCCCTACTATAAATCCTCAAAAGTCAGACTCATCATTTTGCATCTTCTTGTCTTCTAAATCGTTACTTAGTTTTCTAGTAAAATGTCTTCTTGCGGCAGCCATTCATCATATACCACTCGAAAAGCTACTCATACGCTTGAAAACCTCAACATAGAAGGTAGTATTCGTTGTTAGGACTAGATTCATGGTGAACTCTATCGTAAATGTCAAAAACGATAAGTAGCATTACCTTACTTGCTTATAGGCTTTTTGGTGTTTAAGTCTCATACATTGTTTTCCATTCTTTGTTCTATGATTTAAATTCAATGTTTAATTAGATCCATAGTTAGTATTTCATATAGATCAGTCCATGTATTTATTAGATAAACTATGTAAGTTATTTGAAATAGGTTGACTTAAAAAGAATAATCATTTAAACAAACAAATATCCTTCATATTATTGTTTAGGGGCTTCATTGTCGAATACTAATTGGAATAACAACGAAACCTGTGGTTGGGATTTAAGCAATGATCATGGATGGGGAACGATTGATGATGATGGTTGGTCTACCACAACTGGTGGTGGTAGTTCTAGGACAACACTAACTAATGAATCAGTTGTACAACGTGATTCCAAACTTGAAAACAATGGTTACAATCGAAGAAGCCGTAAAAATTCTTAGATTCAATCACTTGATAATTTAAATTCTCCCAATCTTTTGTTGTTGTTGTTGTTTTGTTTGGAAGTGTGATCAAGGTCATTTATCTTATCTTGTTTGTATACTGTAACTATTCATTTCTTGGCTCTTTTGTTTGTTTGTTTTTTTGCTTGAATAAAAATTGTTTTTTCCCCTATTCTTTCTTTAATTCGAAATAATGTGTAATTTATTTTCAATCTGAAGAAATCTCTTTCATTTACTATATATCTATCTATCTTAATTTCGCTATGTAATCTTTATATAGTAAGAATTAAAGATGCACACATCTATAAATTATAATCACTTGTAATGGTAACTAAGCCAATGATGTTTCTCTCTTTGATTTCTTATCTTTTTTGCTTTAAACCCATTTGGCGTTTTATACGATATCAGTAGTAGTACTCTGTTTGGTATGAGCAATATATAATGTGAAACATTTGCACGGTTTAAGTAAAAATCATCTTTTATGTGGTTACGTTTTTTTTTTTTACAGACAGATGTGACTTCTTCAATATATTCGCTTGTTCAATTTTTGTTTGTGTTATTCTGATTCAATTATTCAGTAATTAGGCTTATAATTTACGAATGGTGAATTTAAAAGATTGTTCATTGTGACTTCCTTCTATGAAGATGGACTGTAGTAACTGGGGTGGTCTTTGTTTAGCCATTTCAACACATGGATCGGTGATTTATTACCGGTGTATTTAACTTTTAATGATTAGATTTTAGGTTCAGATCTACCTTATTTCTGTGGATAATGTCAATCGGTCTTACATAGAATAGTGCAGTTTAAACTTGAATAGATGGATTTGTGAACTATTGATGAATTTGTAAGTCTTGAGTCTTGTGCGAAATTGTTTTTAGAATGTTTTGTTTACTAATAAGTAGTTTATCAGTTTTATTTAAAATTATCATATCCACTAGATACAGTCGTAATTTCATGTGTAGAATGTTTCTCTGTGTTGGATGTTTACATTCATACAAAGCAATGCTACTGGAATTTTCTTCATAGCGAATTTCTATATTTTCTCAACTGTACGTTTTTCCACTGTTTTGTGGATGCGTTGAAATAAGCAACAGTATATCATGTTTTTCCGCCTTCAATCTGCATCTGCGTGTACGTAGGTAAAGGGATCGTTTACTTTCTTTAATATATTGTTTCTCGCAGTTAGTACAATTTATTCCGTAGGTCGCTCATATTGTAATTTAATGTTTGTTCAATATAACTTGGCTTCCTGTATACTTGTGATTCTTATACTTATGTGTTTACTTTACAGAATAATAAATCCGTAAATGGGATCTCATTTCTCGATTCTCCTTTTGTAAAGTTGTGTTCATCAAAGATGTTACTGTCCAACTTATTAGTGATTTCAAGTTAACCTCTTCAGAAGTGCTGTGAAGACTAAGTTATCTAGTTTCTGTTTTAAAAAGTTTAGTCTTCATGTGTTAGGTTAACTGCAATAGCCCTTTATCTTGATTTTTCCAGTGACTTTCAGTTATATGATTGATTGTTCTTGCTTTTAGTTTGCTACTTTTGTGATGTGACTGAAAAGCACTCTTGTTGCTGTACAGACAGTGTTATTTCATCACAATTTTGACCTCTGTTGCTCAGTCTTCTCTCATTCGTTTGGGAATTATCAATTTTGATGTGTTGTAGCGTATTTGTCGCCCGGTCTTTCTAGTTCATACAGGTCTCATTTGTTTTGTAAGAATTTCCTAATCATTTATAATTTCAGGATTATCGTACTTTAACCTACTTCAAAACAAAAACAGGAGGATAACAAATATGTTATTTACAGAACGTATCCAAATTTTTAATTAAATGTTAGACGGAACTGTAACTTCGTTCTAGCTTTGCCGTTCCTATTATTTCATGATATAGATAAATAGATTGCAGTTCCTTAGTCCTGTTTGTAAGTCCAACAGTTAGATTGAATATATGTTGCTACGTGATAGTTTACTACCATTATGGAATGCAAAAAGCTTGTTAATAACCCTTAAAACTAATTAGCTAAGCTTCAAAAACCAATTCTACGCTATCGTATTCTCAAAGTCGGATTCATGGGTCAATCTAAGCTAAACCACCATCGAAAATCTGGAATTGCGGGACTACAGTTTCGTCCTAGTATGGAATTACTCATCGGTGCGCATCCACGATCTCGCACAAGGGATTCGAATCCAGGGTCTTCAGTCTCGTGTGCGAACACTTAAAAATCAATCAATCCATGATCTTGCGCAACCTTTCGTACCCGTCAGTCGTGTATATAATTATACAGAATCAGTAAATTAATATCGTCGGAATGGTTTATTTCTTCTTAAATGTATTTCTCCCTTAATGATGTGTATTGAGTTATTTTCATTGTAATAAAATGTTTTTCGTTGTAATTTGTAACCACTATTTAATGATGAACTCATATACAGAGTTGTAAGTTATCTCTTATTAGTTGGAGGTGGTTTTAATGACCTGAAAGCGTGACCTCAGTGCCCAAGGAACAACTAATTGAGGTCGGTCACGCACGACCATTTTGTGAGTAATTTTTGTGTTAGCTCCGACCACCACGTCAAGGTAGCAACTTAATGTAAGTAAAGAAGAGACAAATAGTTAGATGTAGATCTCATTTGATATAAAAAATACATTTACAACTTACTAACTATCTTGATTTATTACGTTTTGATTAATGGTTAAATTCGTATAAATTAAGAAATTTACTTAAAATCATCATACTGATATTAATTAATCAAATATTGTGAATTGAATAATGCATTCTGATACACTTTATTCTTCACTAAACACCAATTACATTTTGATAAATTACATCATTGTATTTTTATTGATCCTCTTTAGCAATTGTCGTCTAACCAGAAGTTAATATATGTACTAGGGGAATACTCAGAATAACATTAGTGAGGAGAATCGAATAAGAGAAAAGATTAACACATGATCTAGAAAACTTATAAAATACATTTACATTTAATATGGAAAGCAACATGTAACAATCAACAGTAACGTAACATTCAGATTAAAACAAACTGGAAATCTAAACTCGATGCGCCCCCAAATGCCCTGGTTCGGCGGAGAGTGGGTAGAGTCAGCTCTCCTCGAAGTGCTCTCACATGACCACGCGGATACAGCTACTGTCAGGGAAGTCCTACTCATTGCCTTATGAAATTGAGAGGACGAAAAGCGAATGTCCGGCACTTTAACCGAGTTGGCTGATATGGAGGATCCCAGTTATGGGAGTTACTTAATTAGGGGAGTTGGAAATTCATAATTCCAAACCAGCAGTGTACATGGGCTCCAGGATCCTAAAAGAACAAATGACGTATGAACCAATTGTTGATCACCGGCTACCATGAGACTGCATCTTCTGATGTAGCTCCACTGCCTTGTGGATTAGACTATTAGGTCAAAGGCTCGAGGTGCGGCCCCTAAGAAAATCATGTGTTTCGATTTGGGAACCGGGGCAGCATTCCAGCCCTCACATAAATCAAATGATTTATGTGTCGCATATCTGTTTGGTGCTTCCTTGTCCCAATGTTTATGTGTTTAAATAAATAAATAAAAACTCAATACAGATAGTGTAGAGTTCCTAACCCGTTACATCTCTTTCAGTTATCAAAAAAATGACTAATTCAAATTTTAAAAAAGCAATTAATTTTAATGGTAATTAAAACGAAACGATTCATTTAAAAAAATCAGGTAAGAGAAATAAACCTAATTTCATATTTTCAATCAATTTGTATTCAAAGTTTATTTTCGAATGTGAGACTGATAGGTCCGGGGTTCGAATCCCGCGTGCCGAGGAGTCCCACAATAGAACGAAACAGTCGTCCAGTGCTTCCAGGTTTTCTCTGGTGGTCTTGCTTCAATTGACTCATGATTCCAACTATTGATTTCAATTTATTGTACTAAATTTTCTAATATTTACTAGGGAAATCCATGAGCTCAAGGCAGAACTATGCGTACAAAAGAACGTCCTATCGTTATCGTTAACTTGGCCTTAATTATTATTATTACTGCATTCCCCCGTTACTTATGTCTCATTCCCATTATTTTATTTATAAGTAGTCATCATATCACTTTATTTGCCCCTTCCAGCCAAACAAGTTGGTGAAGCCTAGTAGGCCCTTCTGGCGAGAAACAGGCCACATCAAAGCACGGCACAACTACCGGGGCTAGAATAGTTGTTTCTGCAATCCTTTGGAGTTTACCCAGTGACGAGCAACTCCATATGATACATGTACCACTCGAAATTTTTTTGTCGTTTTCCATTCTAAATGTAATTGTGCTATGTTTATCTGTGGAGTTCGTAATCGATTGGTGGGTATAGGTAAGAGTGGGTGATTAGCCCGATCTCCACCACCCGGGTTACCGCTCACGTTGGTTCATAAGTCATTCATCTCATTATCCAGGAGGCACGATACGGATATGTGAGTCGGATTTTGCCTCCCATCACTTTATTATTTTTTTTACACTTCTATGACGTTTGATGACCTTTAATTATTGTAACAAAAAACATTTTATCAGTATAGGGGTGGTGGAGATTAATAAGTTTTTGATTGAGATCATGAACTGATTGATGTTAGACCACCATTGAAAACCTGGAAGCACAGGACGGCCGTTTCGTCCTATTGTGGAACTTTTCGGCAGTGAGCATCCATGATCCCGCCCGCAGGATTCGAACAACCAGAGCCTTCAGTCTCGCGTGAGAATGCTTCCAGGTTTTCAATGGTGGTCTAATATCAATTGGTTCATGATCTCAATCAAAAACATTCTAGTCATTTTACTACATTCACGTTATAATTCGTTACTTAGTTAGTCTATTGTTATCATCCATATTACGCAATCTAGCGTTGTAATCTTTCGATTGCATCATTGTGGTTCATATGTCCTCACGGAACTAGTACTTTAAGAAAAAAGAATTTTCATGTATATACGATTGTACAGTTTGATAATAAATTCTTTGAAAAGCGGTACCTTCACTATACTTCGTGTTTTTAAGTGAATGTTTAACTGTTATATCCCGACGAGAATAGTGGAGAACTGTTTATGAACCAATACGATACATATATTTTTATTGTGTAAATTATTAAGTAAGTAACCTATGTATATTCATGTTCCTCTTATTATAAACATTTTTAACCTATAGACTATTATTATACGATTTACCGTTCTTAAGTTATGCCCCAATCAATTAATTGGCAGTCTTTCACATTCACAGCCACTTTTTGACTAAATCTTGTACAAATGTTGTTTCCTATTTTATACTACGATGTGGTCTATTTGATTTTTGTATATAAACGAAGTATGTTTAGAATACATGATACATATCACAGAGATTGAGATTAGTATTGTGAACTAAACAGGCAGGGGTAGTACAAGGATAAGAACAGATAAGAACTCTAAACTGTTCGTACGAGTTTTTATGCGTTAATGGTTTGGTTGATAAGTCACTGTTCTCTAATTGACGATATCATTACGTCATTTTATTGTGATAGGGGTATAAGGTCTAGCATAACTATTATTATTATTATTATTATTATTATTATTATTATTATTCTGTATACCTTTATACACGTTTATTTATTATGGATAATATAATACATAAAAATTACGTGACATTAGATTATCTTTTATTTCATTGAAATCTCCTTTATTGTTTTGATAACCACAATTATATCGTTTTATTTTGATTTTTATAAGTTTCTAAGTAGACAAAAGGAATAATAATTTCCCTACGGTTATTACATTCAACTATTGCGGATTCCGATTGAGAATATACAGAGTTTCTGTTATAAACCTAATATAGGTGGTTGGTGGTGATGGTATATATATATAGGGGGTAGCGAAATAGAAATGAGTTGGGAATAAAAAAAATGATATACATCTTTGAATTGGCGACTATTTATGCTTTTATATGATTGATTTTATATTCTAAAATAAATTGTTACATAAGAATTAGAAGAATTTATTGTTAAATAAGTTTAATTTCAATGGTTAAGATCATGAGTCAGTTGAATTTAGACCATCATGGAAAACCTGGAAGCACTGGATGACCGCTTTGTCCTATTGTGGAGCTTCTCAGCAGTGCGCATCCACAACCTCGACTCATGAGATTCGAACCAAGGACC